TTTCAAGCCGGTAATGATCCGTTTTGAAGTGAACCGGTATAGGGCTGCCATTTCACACATGGCTTTCCCCTTCCGGTAAAGAGCTGGATCTGAAGCGGTTTGCCATTTCAGACTGCACCGCTTTTTCCCGCTTTTCTGTTTCAAGCCGGTAATGATCCGTTTTGAAGTGAACCGGTATAGGGCTGCCATTTCACACATGGCTTTCCCCTTCCGGTAAAGAGCTGGATCTGAAGCGGTTTGCCATTTCAGACTGCACCGCTTTTTCCCGCTTTTCCCCCGCTGTTTTTCGCCTGTGCGGGCGATCTCCGGCTTTTTTTTTTAATGTTCACTTTAGAGCGCTATAGCAGTATAACAAAACATTCCATGCATTCCAGTGGGATCGATATAATGCTATTCCATTATAGCGCTATAGCGCTATGACGCTATAAAGCAAACCTTAAAAAAAGTCGGAGATCGTCCGCGCGGGCGAAAGACGGCGGGAAAAAGTGCATCGGAACCGGGAGAGGAAACTGAGGAGTACTTGGAAGCGGTTGACAGGTAAAACGCTTCAGCCCCGTTTCCTAAATGGGACAGAAGCTATTGTGTGTGAAATGATAAAAATATTCCGGAAGGGAACGGGTTCTCAAACGGTTCTGTCTGAAATGACAGACCAGAAACCGTTTGGGAACCGTTCCTCTTCCGGAATATATCGCCTGTCTGAAATTCCTCCTAGTCTTGTTTCTAAACCCCTGGGTGGCTTAAAAAGAAGAGTAGGTGCAGTTTTGACCTGAAAGGCCTAAGTTGTTGCTGTTGCCTTTGGGGGCTGGGGAAAACTTCCCACAGCCAACCCTCCACGTCCACGTTTTCCCGTACTTTTTGATCCTGCGGGTGGTCGGTCCTGGATTTAAAATGGGAGCCATTTGACATTTCCTCTGTGCTCGTTGGGGGCGTCGTGGTTGAACAGGGCTCTCTGGGCAGCGGGGATGCTCCTGGGGTATTTCTACACCCTCTCTGTTGAAGTGTGCGCAGCACCAAGGAACCCCAGAGTGCCTCTTCGCTCCCTCCGTTTGAGTATGAAACTGCCTGTTCCTGTTGGTCCCTCCAGCAGCAGCTTTCCAGGTTGTTGGGCTGAGAAGGATTTCGCCCACCATTCCCTTTACAGGAGATGCCAGGGATTGAACCTGGGGCCTCCAGAGCGGGGGTCGTTTCATAGAAAAAGAGCTAGGGGAACTCATTATCATAACTCATTAGCATATTCCACACACCCTGACATCACCGGAAGTGTGTCATAAGGCCACACCCCCTGACATCACTGGAAGT